TCATGTAACACTAGAATTATTAATTTGGTTGGTTATTTTTTTAAATGTTATCAAACTATATTTATCTTCGTTATCTATAATACTTTTAATTTTTTTTAGTAATTGTTTCTGGTGGAATTTCGATCGATTTCGTTTCTAAGGGTATTTTGGTCTTTAATCGAAATCCTCCCACGTAAGCTCTTTTTACTTAGGCTAGCAATTTGATTTTCAATCGAAAACGTGTATGAGAATCGAAAATTACAGGATATCGAAAATGCTGTTTTTGGTATTTTGTATTTTAAAGTATCGAAAGCAGTAAAAGTATCGAATCAAGAAACAATGTTAAATTGCAAGAAAATGTAAAGAGCGAAAATCCAAATTTGCATCAATTGTAAATGACGAGGAATCGAAAATAGTGCAAATATAAATGACAAGGAATCGAGATTTGTAGAACATTAAATAACATGGAAACTTAAATGCATGAACTTAAATTTTCATTGAATTGAAATAGACAAGAAATCGAAAATACAGAAACATAAAACTGCTGAATTTAAGTTGCATCAAAATAAATTACCAAGGAAAATACAGAAAGCGGTAAATGTACTCAGTGAGCAAGGAAATCCAGATTGCCAGAAGCTTCATGGTGTTCGTCGTTTCTCCGGTAGACTTTTCACTACTGATTCTGTTCTCTGCCAATTTCCGCTCCCCTGTTCCTTCCTCCTTTGCTCTATTTATAGGGCATCCTTCAAGCCTTCCGAGAGCAGTTAACGCGACTGCTACCACGTTCTACGTGCGTATGACAGTTTATCTTCTATAGTTTCCCACGTTCTCACGATCTCCGACTTTTTTCCCATGATTTCAAAACTGCTCTTTATACGTGCATTCGACTTACTTCCTTTCACGATTTGGCCAAAGTCTCGATGTCCACATTGACTTTCTTTACTCTCGATTCTGTATTTCTCGAGAACTTTGAATTGCTTACGATTCCTTTTTAACCCTGGTCTTATATGATTTAGTTTTTATTCGACAACAGTCATTTGATTATTATTCATTTGATTCTCGACTGTGCTTCTCGATGCTATATGCTACGTATTTCTATCTTATCGAATGAATTTTTGTTTATCTTATCGAGTCACATTTCTTTCCTTCGATTTCGATCGCTTTTCTCGATTTGCCACTAACAGTAATACATTCATAATGTTTAGGACAAAAAAACAAGTACATAAAATTTATGAAATATTGTGAAGGTAACTATTATGCGCACTCATGAGGGATGAGAATGTAATGTACTAATTGAACAATAATCAAAGGTGATGGTTGGGGGCAAATTACCAAACAACCAACAATGGTGCAGGCGCCACCACAAATAAGATGATTTTGCAAATGAATTGAACCCATGTTTTATCAATATTCTTAAAGAAATGAGTGCATGAACATCTTTATATATATATATATATATATATATATATATATATATATATATATATATATATATATATATATATATATATATATATATTTTAGAATTCTCCTAATATTAACTAGTCTATTTAAATTTGAAGTTTGTGGGATTAAGTTACTCCTCTTCTTTTGTTCGTTTTACGACAAATTTGATTAAATAATTTTTTTAAATTTGAACTTGAAAAAAAAATGGAAGTTTTTGAAATATAAGAAGTAATCATTTATATGAAAAAAATAGAATTTTTAAAACTCAAGAGATCTACTTACGTTCGTTAAAGAAAAAGTGGATAAGGTTGAGTTCTTAAACTTTAATTTTAAAAACTTAATTAGAATATAATTATTACAATGTGAATCATAAAATGCACCCCTTGAAAAGTGAGACGAATTCATAAGAATCGATAAAAAAGAAGAAGAAGAAAGAATACATGGTTTAAAATACAGAAGAGGGAACAACTTAGTACTTGAGATGAAAATAACTCTAGAAGACAACGTCACTTTGTCTCGCGGAATGCAAAATAAAAGAGAAAAAGAACGAAAGCCTAATACAGGGAACCAAGAAAAAAAAAGAAACAAGGTTTCCTAGAACATCTTAAAAAAAAAAGTGGCCGCGACGCAAATTATTAAAAAAATGTTACCAAATTTCACCATATTTAATGTGTTGTGAGAAGCGGAAAAAAAAAAAAATAATAAAGTGACAAACTCCAATTTCACTCGTTTGCTTTTATAAAAAATATTGCATTTGCAACCTAGATTCCAAACTCAAGGACTTATTTATCTACTTAATTCTAAGAATAAGAGTACAACGTAAATAATCAAAATATTCATACCAGTACTCGGTAGGTACATAATTACCCGATATTTAATACATAAAATAAAGATGAAATATCTGATTATGAACGATTAAAATCTTAATATCACTTTATAAAATATTTTGTATTTAGTATGTTTTTACTTTCTCGTGATAATTTAAGTATAAGATAATATTTTACAAGTATCCTCCTTCTCCTCAACATATTCAAGAAGAATTAAAAAAATTCAATGGTCTCATAGAAATAAGATAATAACAATAATTATATAAAAAATTAAAAATATTATAAAAAATATCAATAAATTATAACTAAAATAATAATAATAATAATAATAATAATAATATCAATAATAACCCGATGACAATAATAAAAAAACTAAGATAATAATAATAATAATAATAAATATTTAAATAATAATAATAATAAAATTATAACCATCATTGTTGTAATAACGATGGGTGATAAGTAGAAAAATATTTATTATCTATCAAATTGTATAATACAAATTATAATAATAAATCATAAAATATCTCTTTATAAAAAAATAACGATGTATTGATTTATATAACTTTAGAGAACACATAAAATTAAATTATGAATTTTAACTGTCTCTTTAAAATGTGGAAATGAAATGAGGATTCCTTACTATTTCAAAATATTATTATATATAGAATCAAATACTAATTAATGTCAATAGATTTTTATAAAAAAATTATTTTACTTTTATATTATCATGATTATTCTTTTTATTTTTATAAATTAAATAATAAAAATAAAATGAGATTTAATAAGTTTTTTTTAAAATATATTATATTAGTTTTTATTTATATAACGTCAAATAATTTAAGTTTATATATATATATATATATATATATAAAAGAATTTTCAATCTAATAATATATTTTTTAAAAATTGTTAATAAAAAATATTAATAGTCCAATTCTTATTAATATATAATTTATTATTTTATTATTTTATTATTTTATTTATTTATTTTCTCTCATATTCTCTCTCTCTCTCTCTATATATATATATATAACTCAACATGATGTCATTGCAAATTGAGAAAAACTAAAGCTTACGTATTATAATGCAGTAATCTCTATCTTGAAGGCAATGATTTCATGCCATAGTGCAGCCAATACTTGAAGATAATGTTTCCCCAAGAAGACAAATTATACAATATCAAAATCATAGGTTTATTTAAGAAGGCAAACTGTTAGATGTTTTATTTACTCAATAAAATGTTCATTTAGAATTTTTCAGATTTTAAATATTACAAAGCGTAGTGTAATATTTCATCTGCATCTTTTGATATTTAGTGTTAACTAATAACCATTCATGATTTGTTAGTGCTTCCTTGTAACTGTTATATACCTTTTCTCTCTTTTAAATTTTGCAAAATTTTCTCAATACATGGAACCTGGCGTGTCGAGTTAGTATACAGAGATTTCTACTGTTGACAAAATCCAGAGTCTTTGATCACTCTGTTAAGTTAATTAGAACAAAGCTTGTACACTATTTCGTCCAAATTGACATTATATATTAATAATAAAAATTATCATCATCATGTTTGTTACAATAGTTCATCTAAAATTACTAAATTTACAGCGGATTTTGAACATTCATATAGGGACCAAATAATATATTATTAATAAATAATAAATAAATATAAAAGAAAGAAAGAAAATGAAAGGGTGAAAAGATAAAGTCTAGATATATACTTAAATATATTAAATGATTATTAAGTTTGAGGAAACAAAATCATAAATTATATAAAAGTTACAAAATCGAGGAAGGCTGAGAGGATAAAATTATAAATATACAAGTAAATATATTAAATGTTCATTAAGTTTGGGGATCAAAATCATAAATTACATGAGTAGTTACAAAATTTTAGGAGAAAGATGCCCTCTCAGCTCCCAAGAAGATCCGCATATGATATTAATGTACTTTTCATTAAAAAAAATATTATATTTGAAGCTAAATTTATAAAATTCACTAAATATAATTTTCTAAAAATATTGAAATATGAATATGAGCTAGTTTTGAATTTGTTTTTATAATTTTTTATGTTTTTTTATTCCTGTAAAATCTGAAATCATATATTTTAGTTTTTAATATTTGTTTTAAGATAAATAAATAAAACAAATTTTATAAATCTTAGAAAAAAATAATTATTTTTTTATTTTGATATTCTATGCCATTTATTAATTGATTTACATTTTTTTTGAAAGAAAAGTTAAATAACATTTTAAAATAACGTATAAAGAAAATAATTTACACCACGAAAATCAGATTAAAGATATATTTAAGTTAACTAAGAATTTCATGACACAGTGTTACCTACACTCTCAGCCAAGGTAGAAGAAGGATCTAAATTTAATGGAGTGGAGGAGTTAGTCAGAGAGTTTGTTGGTTTCACCAACCAGAAGAAAGCTTTGAATATGTAAACGTGATTTTTGGGATAAAAGCATTTATGAAACATCATCCATATGACAGTGACATGGCCGAACTCAGCATCGATGCTTCCCAACAAATGAAAAACGTTGTTACTATCACTTTGTTTACTTCATCGTTCACATCACAATTCGCTAGGTTTTCACTCTGCAATTGCAATTTCCTACACCGTTTTTCGCTTTCGTGTTTTCTTTTCCCGGCGATTAGAATTTACTTGTTTTGTTTTCCTCTTTATGAATTCAGTTAGGAAGTTGAAAGAAGAGGATCGTCAGTGTTTTGAGATCTCTGAAGATGGGGAAAAAGCGTGTAATGTTGCCCGCGAAGGACGTTGACTTGTCCTCAATTAAGTACGAACGTGAAGTGGTTCAAGGTAATTCTACTTGCTTCTTCTGCAATCATGTTGAATTTACAGTTTCTACTACTAACATCGGATTTATTTACTTTTCACTCTTTTGTTTGGTCATTTATTTTTTGCAGCTCCGCATTTGACTGGATTTGTGTTTAGATTTTTTGTGAGGATGCTTGAAGCTCCGCTGATCGGCCCTATCATAATGAATGTTTTGAAGAAGGAAAATAAAATTGATGAGGTGTGTTTTTTGTAGCTGAAATTAGTGAATAATGTCCTGTATTCTTATGTCTCATCGTTAAAGATGTTTTATTTTAGTTTTGTCGTTATTATTTATGAATAATACTCTAGTTGCGTGTGTTCGACAGTAACATAGCAAATTAACTAAATGTTGTCTGTTTTATATTTCTTATTAATATCATGACAGATATTGCAGCACACTGTTATACCTGAGGAACCCATGTTTAAGCCTGAATATCCACCTCAAGGTGGCTCCCTCTCCTCATCTGTGAATGAATTGCTTCTTTTCAATATTTCAGTCTTAGTATGATTGTATGTTTAAAATGCAGGTGGGGTTATATGCTGGATTTACTTAAATTTGAAGTTCTTTGAGATAATTAGAATGGAATAGGAGGAAATTTGAACTCCCTTGGATAATGAATATTAGTAATTGTGTCAAATTATTTGCATTGCATTTGAGGATGCTTGCTTATTATATAACCCGCGTTGATGTTTGTAATGCTAATTTAGAAAAGGAGCCTGGTGTTATTGTCCTTGATGAAGATGGGAGACCTGAAGATCGAGTTGAGTCTGCCTTAATGTGTCTTCCACATTATGATGTTGCTGAATTATGCGAAAATTCATCTGCATCCTTTCGGTACTGGAAAATACGTGACTATGCTCATGCTTATCGATCTAGAAAAGTAACCCCATCCATGGTATGTCGTATTTTGCTGGCATCACTCTTAGTATAGTGTTTTTTTTTTTCTTTTTTTCTTTTTTTTCCTTTTTTTGAAATTAAATTGTGAAACGAAATAATCTCCCTTTGAATTTATAGATTGCCGAGCGAATAATCTCCATTATAGAGGAAAATGGAAGAAATAAACCTCCTGCACCACTATTGATATCCTTTGAGGCTGCAGAAGTCCGGGAGCAGGCGGCAGCATCTACTAAGAGGTTTGAAGCAGGTAATCCTGTATGATTCCGAAGCTTACAGTTTAAATATTTCACACATGATTATGTTGAGCCTTGGTGGGCATCGACACACACTTACCAAGTTATGTGCTTGGACTTTGATTATGTAGGAAACCCATTATCGATATTGGATGGAATTTTTATGGCCATCAAAGATGACATAGATTGTTATCCTCATCCATCTAAGGGTAAGTATATCTTGGCATCTTATTTTGTTCAAGTAATTGAAAAAAAAAAAAACCTTTGAATTTTCTTCTGATGTTGACAGGTGCATCAACATGGATGCATGAGGTAAGAACTGTAAAGAAGGATGCAGTCTGTGTTTCAAGACTGCGTTGCTGTGGTGTCATATTTGTAGGGAAGGCAAATATGCACGAGTTTGGAATGGGTACAACAGGAAATAATCCTAATTATGGGTAAGTTTATCATATATTGTTAATTTAAATCATGATGTCACTAACAACATAAAGATTTCTGTCTGCTTTACCTAATATATTTACAGGTTTTAGAGTTAGCTCATTCTTCCTTCTTCCAAATCAGGAGACAAAAGTAAATTTGTTAATAAATGTCTTCTTGTTGTCATTCACTTCACTTGTTTAAATATTGTTTTATAAGAAAACCATTCCTGAAAGGAAAAAAAATGTTATATGGCAACACGATAGAGTCTGTGCCATAACAAAGTTGCCTCAATTATCATATAAAGAAGTAGAATATTAGCAGGGGATTGCACACTCTTGTAAAATGAAAGATAGCATGAGTAACGAGATCTGCCAATGTGATAGTTGGGGGCAGGTAAGGAATCTGTTGAAGGGATTAAAAGGAAGGAAAGGAGTGGAGTTCGGGGGTAAACAGGAATTGATTATGGACTTAGATGTGAGGCTACAGGTCTGTCAAATGACTTGTGTTGTCTTTTCTTTGTTTTCTTTTATTTCTTTCTCAGTTTTATGCAATTACTGGGTCCGATTCCCAGTTATGTGATCTGAGAAGAAGTTTCTACCACAAGGACATGTGTAAAAGGCCTTTAGAAATTAAACTAGAGTTCTCCACACCATTAATTGTTGTGAATCTCTTACATAACCTTTAAAATTGTTTTGGTTTGCTTGTATTTTCTTGTGTTCCTTCAGAATCTACCTCCATTGATTACTCAACTGAATTTTCTTGAGTTGCAGAACTGCAAGAAATCCTCATGCACCTGATAGGTATACTGGTGGATCTTCTTCAGGTCCAGCTGCAATTGTTGCTTCTGGAATATGTTCGGCTGCATTGGGAACTGATGGTGGAGGTTGTCCAAATTAATGTATTAAACTAATTGCTTGGCTGTATTTTTGTATGTAATTTATTTTTGAAAATTTTGGAAAACGGCAGGTTCAATCCGTATACCTTCTTCCCTTTGTGGTGTGGTGGGATTGAAGACAACATATGGGCGGACAAGCATGGAGGGGTATTTTCTTGCTCTATGTGATGGATCAATCGTTACTAGCTTTTTATGTGTACTATTTGCTCATCAATTTTTTCTTTTTTTAATTTTTATTTTATTTGATTTTATTTTTACTCTTTTTACCACATTGTAGTATTTGTGATCCTATTCTAATTGGCTGTCGACCATTTTCTATTGTGACTATGAAATGAACGTACTATTTTTTCGCTGGACGTTCACATCAAAACAAGAACCGGAGAAGTTTGGTACAGGAAGAAGAAAACCCTGGTTGAAAACTTAGTTAACAAGGTGTTGAAAGAAGCTCCTTTATGGCTAGTTGATGAAAGTTTGCTGTATTTATTAGACTTAAAATATATGGGCCACACAATTCATGGCCATGAGGGGAAAAACCAATAATTAAATCTCCTATGATGAAAATGCTTCTGTTTTCATCTTAGGTTATTATTCAATATACCATCATGTGCAATTGGTACAAAAGTATGTTACTTTACCAGTTGTCTGAAAGACTAAACTCTAAGTGGTTGAGTCTCTGCCCAGTTATTCGAGTTTAGTAGTCAATACTCATTCTAATATAGGGTGAACAATCTGGTCTTCCAAGTCGTGAAGGAACTTCTTTTTGTTCATATTTTTCTTCTTTTTATTATGGTTCTGTCTTTTATTGGCAGGCATTATAATAGAATGCAGTTCTATAATTTCTCCGAATTTTTGTTTTTGTTTCACATTCTTGACTGTAGTCTAAGGCATTTAATGTAAATAGATGAATAGGTATCGTGACTGCAGGTTCTACTTAGGTTAGCAACATTTTAACTTTCTTTCAATATCGAACTAGATCCATTTTCTTGTTGCATTCACACAGTGTAAAATCATTTGATCGTCTCATTTATTTAGCAAATTTCAAAGGCAGCATGGCTGACTAATTAGTTGTATTAGAAAATAATTGCTGTGTTTTGCTAACTAAATTTTTTATATCGGGAGCATTTACTTTGTTCTTTTGGTTTTATTTACAGGTCATTATGTGATTCTGGGACTGTGGAAATTATTGGACCCCTTGCTTCATCAGTGGAGGATGTCATGCTAGTGTAAGCAATGCATACTTCTCGCTTTCCCTTTCCTGCTTTCTTTTTCAGACTAACTCTTTCATTTTACTTTACCGCTCCAATTTTACATGTACATTGGACTTCTAGCTGTTTGGTTTAGTAATTCAGTTGTCGATATCAAGAATAAAACCTATGGCTTGATTGATTTTTGAAGATATATAACAGATCATTTGGTCCTGATGATTCAGGTATGCGGCAATGTTGGGGGCATCACCTGCAAATAGAATCAGTTTAAGACCGGTATATTTTTTGGTTGTTTTTTGAAAATTGCCTTAATTGTAGTCTCACCCTAAGCCTGCCTTATTATGGCCTCTCTGGGCTGCCTTAACTGCAACCTCGAATATATTAATTGCCTGGAGAAGTGACCAACGTAATTCTTATAATAAGGCTTGGACAATTCTCACCTTAAAATCTGATTTTATTGGGTTGAATCATGTTACAAGCCTAAATTCAAGAATGAATTACATAGCTGATTTTGGGGATTGAGTTAGTCTCTTTGAAGTAATTTTTCATTAAATAAAGCAAGTAGTTCTTGAAAAAATCTCTTAACAAAAATTAACAACAAGAAAAACTAGGATTGAACTTTGGAACATGGACCTCAGTCATTTAAAAGCACTAACTGTAAAGGGGCTGTATCGAATGTAGGAGAGTATATTACTCTCTGACATTTGGCATTTCTCTGTCCCAGCCATAACAAAAACTAAGCCTGTATCTACGATAACATATTACGCTCCCCTTGTACTGCTACTCTTCTTAATCAGATTTTCTTTTAGACCTCTAATGCTATGTTATGGATGTATATATGACAAAGACAATGTACTAAACCAACTCATAATTCAGTTATTCTATACTTTCTCTACAAAAAACTTTGCCATTCTTGAGTAAGTATGATGCATATATTTTTGTTTTTATTGTAGTCACCACCTTGTGTGCCAACTCTGTCATCCCATGATGATTCAAATGCCTTGGGATCTTTAAGAATAGGAAAGTACACCCCGGTAATTGTCTTATCCTTTCACAATAGATTTTTTGTGCAGTTTTATGTGCCTACTCTTTCTAAATAATACATTTATTCTTGTGAAGTGGTTTAATGACGTGCATTCAACTGAAATCTCTGATAAATGTGAGGATGCACTTAATCAGCTGTCAAAGGCGCATGGATGTGAAGTAAGTTTATCATTCTATCATGTAATGCACTAACATAATAAATTTAAACAGGTCTAAGTAGTGTATATTTACTTGAAGATGATAGAAATTGTTATACCGGAGCTTCTTGAGATGCGAACTGCCCATGTCGTTTCCATTGGCTCTGAATGCTTGTGTTCACTCAATCCTGATTGTGAAGACGGGTACGTTTGAGTATATATTGAAACCTAATACTGGTAATTTCATTTTTGTATCCAGTTGTTAAAAGACACCCTCTAGTCCTGTTATTAAAAGTGGTTAATATTATACCGTGGCTATAAAAGTTTATTTGATTTCTCGATTTCTTTGCTTCCATAGGAAAGGTGTAAAATTGACATATGATACTCGTACAAGTTTGGCACTTTTTCGGTCATTTACAGCAGCAGATTATGTTGCTGCCCAATGTATTAGGTGAGACAAGAGTTTATAATAAATATAACAAACCTATGTTCATTTATTTACTGATGAGCTTGGAAAATGATACGTTATAATTTTTAAAATGAATTTCTATGACAACAGATTGACTAATGTAAACCATTCTAAAATTTATGGTAATGTTTCAGACGCAGGAATATGTATTACCACATGGAGATTTTTAAGAAAGTGGATGTCATAGTAACTCCGACCACTGGGTATGTATAACACAATATGGTACAGTACTCCTTAGTGTAATGGACCCCTGTACCGTGCCAAATTTAGTTCAGTTGATCTAAAGTGGGTTTGCTTTCTTTTATAATTCTTTGAATTGAATGGCTTGGAAATTAGTCTTTTTACAGTCAAGATAACAATATATGTGTTTGATGGCATTTGTTAATTGGTATGAATATAGCTTTATTGTTATAATGAGAAGGGATCTTGCTCAAAGGGTAAGAGTTAGGGATTTATTCTTCAATCCTCATCATTTAATTTCTTGTAATCTAATAATTAAAATGAGTTAATATTTTAGACCATTAAATTTCAAAAAATAAACGGTAAGTATGAAAATTAAGTTTATAATTTTTACTCTTAAATTAAATAAATGGATCCCTCCACTTTTATAGTAGCATAAAACATCTACTTATTTTTTTCTAGACATGTTAATTTTGTTAGCGGAAAGACTTTAATTCACCACTTATTCCTTCTTTTTCATTTTTACCGCCAAGTCATGTTTCTCCCAGCCAAGAAGGAAAAAGATTAAAAGACAAACTGTCCTATCATATGTGATTTTCTCTGGTCTGTTCTATTAATAGCTCTGCTTTTGTGGGGTATATTTATGGATAGTTTTGGGGAGGGTGGGACTGAAAAACAAAGATCATTGACATATGGAAACGAATTTTTACAAAGTTCAACTACATATTATTTTGGATGTAAGGTTTTGTTGTTTTGGCTAGAATACTTGATATGTGGAGGAGATGCACCTGAACTATCTTTGTTTATAACACAGAATGACAGCACCCAGCATACCTCCTAGTTCGCTTAAAAGTGGTGAAACAGATATGCAGACTACAGGTAAATAGCGTCACCTTTAAGTCGCAGCTTCATGATATTTTTCTTCTGAAATGATTTGCATTGCAGCTTTGTAATTAACGCCATATCCGTTATCACACACTTTTACTCCTGCGCTCTAATAAAATAAAGAAAAAGTACAATTTTTCAAGCATTGCTAACCTTTTTTATTAAATGGGTTACGAGGTAAGACTAAATTTGATTGGAAAACTTTATCAGAAGTATCTAAAATTGCACTTTAGTTTGGTTATCATGTTCCTTATATATCCAACTTGTTAAGTTTTTAAATTAAAAGATGACATATGAATGGTTTTTCAAACATTAAATATTAGATTTAAAAAAAACGTTATTATTTAATTTGAGAGTTTGATAATAAATATTGCCCAAAGTAAAATATAACAGGAGTTAATGATCTCTGGACTTCTCGGTCAACAAAATAAAAGTTTGTCACTAATTATAGCAGTAAGTATTTTTAGGATAAATAACATGATAATAATTATTTTTTTAGAAAAATGGTTATGATTATTATTATATTCAAGATATAAGATATATATTATCCTGAGTATATTTACTCATTAGCAATTAATCTATAAGATATTTAAATTATATTTCGCTATACCGTTCTATCTTAGTAAAATGTCCATGATTGCAAAACTATGCCTATTATGTCATAACTTGTATCTTTATATATGTGAACTTTGTTTTTTTTTTCAGCTAATCTTATGCAGTTCATTGTTCCAGCAAATCTTCTTGGACTCCCTGCCATTTCTGTCCCGGTGAGGGAGTGAAATCAGTGCTGAATAATTTTTGTTAATTTATTATGAAGTTAAATGCCATTATTATAGATAATTTTGAACAATATTTAGTCAGTTTGGATAAATTTCTGGACAAGTTTGAGTCAACAAAAAGTAAAATGAATTCAACTCCTTATACCAGTTAAAATCAACTCAATTAAACAAACCCTGAACATTTGTCATCTCCATAATAATTTACAGACTGTTTTGTAACTTAGAAATTAATATTTATTTTAATTTAAAATTATCGATAAATTAGAAGTTAATTCAACTTATATAGTTTATTCATTGGACTAACATGTTTTGTCTACAGGTTGGTTACGATAAAGAAGGACTTCCAATAGGTTTGCAAATAATGGGTCGACCATGGGCGGAAGCTACTGTTCTGCGGGTAGCCTCTGCAGTGGAGGTACGAATATTTTAATACGGCTCCCCACTGTTTATATGTGATATATGACTTTTGGTAAAAATTCTTTATTCAGAAACTCTGCGGTGAGTCAAAGAAAAAGCCCGCGTCATACTATGATGTTCTGAAGGCTAACTGACGCTGAGATGTTCTTGCTGCTTACGGTTTAGAATTGGCTGGATTTATTATTTGGAAATCGGCGCACGGATGCTTTGAGCTTTCATCCAGGGGGCATTCCATTTCTACAAACGGTTTGATAAGTTCCTAAAAATAATTTCTGCAGAGAAGAATAGTAATAATTAAATACAAAATTAAACATTTAGAAAATCATGAGTGAAGGTAATGTGCACATTTCATATTTACCGCACAGCTGTTCGTTAACTAATATACTGTTATTATATGTTCAATGTGTTCAAATTTAACCCATCAGTACTAATTACCAATTTCTAATAAACATGATTCACGAATACCATGCCACATGTCACAGAAAATTGAAATAACAGAGATTCTTTTATAATGAGTTGGTTGGATTGGAAGTATTCCATATAAAACGGTTCCCACTGCAAACAATCATAAAGCAATTTTAAGCATAATTTGAGATAGTTATTCTGCATTTGCCGAGTCACGATGAAAATTTCTACAGAACCATTTTTCAGCGTTTTCATGCGCAACATCACTAGCCGAGAGGTCCATCCTGAAGGTCACTTGACTGAATTTTTTGTGGTTAATGCATATCACACTACAAAAATCCTGACTGAGGTGAAAGGGGGCTCTTCAAATTATTTATAGAATGTATTCGTACTGATCAACAATGACCACGGAGCGAAGCTCACAGTTGGCAAAGCTGCAAAGAATAACCAGTCGATTATTTCCGCCACTGTTAAAAAACGAAGAGTAGCTGAACATATCAAAATGCCAGTTAAAAGAACGTAAACCTTGATTTCAAAATTTAAGGCATGAAACAGCATACAAGACTGAAAAAAAAAAACGGGAATAGTACTTTCTGAACTAATGCAAACAAAACCGGTGAGGACTAAATTGATGTGTAATCCATGAATAACCAATATGTCTTCATTGAAAAATAATAAAACAACAATCTGTGAATAAACAAATAACCACATTCAAAGCATTGGTGACCTTACGGCTTTGATAATTTTTCCTTCTCCAAGAGATGGCTGTAATTTCCAAATGCACTTAGAGTATGAAACAAAAATGCTCTATGCGTCACAATTGCTATCTCCTTCTCTTTTCTTGACCCCAACCTGTGATGGAGTGAAAAATAAAGTTAGAGTCACTGATATGAACCAAATATATTGGATAGCAATTATCAGTTAAGATAAAAATCACGGAAGTTACAAGAAAAAAGAATATATTGTTTTTTCTTCAAGAAAATTTACATAAAATAATTAAAAGATATACAACTTAGTATTTGATGGCATGTACAAAAAACAGGTATTTTGATGGCAAGTTCTAGTTACTAACATAAAAGTAATGCGATGTTCCAAGAAAAAAGAAAATATGTATTGTGCTTTTCATAAGCGTGATACACACAAATGATTCCCGTGACAGCCCTTTAGAGAAGATTCACACATTATTCAGCAGTTTCCAGTAACTATTACAAAATGCTGGACGTGCTGGCTACATTAATTTCAGGAAAGGCCAGTTGATCTTATCTTTCTATCACAAAGTAGGAATATATTAAGTATTAACTTCGTAAAACATATAAGTTCACACATCTATTATGCATGACGCTTTATGCAAGTTGTTCTCACACAAGGTCTCAAAGACCAATGTCTGAGAAGATGATCCAGATAGGCTTGGATGTGTTTCCTCCAATCTCACGGCTCCTCTGGGTGTTCACACAAATAGGGTGTTTTCTCGCCTTTCTTGGTTGTGGTTGTTATGCATGATAAGGTAGATAAGTTCTTTTTTTAATAAGATTCACTTGACTGTAATCTTTGTCATTTGGCAACGTTGAATTTGAATAGCTGATTATGTTCCTTAGGTTGGATCTAGTGTTCTAGTAGTCAGGTCTTATCTAGCAATTGGTGGGGTTAAAGGAGTTGGTCAGGCGAAGTATAGACCTGGGGGAACAAAAAGTATAAAAATTAAAATATCGCTGTAACTGAATCGAACCAGTTCATGAACTTCAGCCCTCTGGCTGCAAGTTCTTCCTGTGTCTCTCTGACATCGGTCTTCCACCAAGTATCCTCATTACTCTCAATCTGAAAAGAAAATAAAAAGTGGCTTGGCAAAAACCCAAAGAGAACAAATTATAACTTGCCAGATTTTTGTATAGCTAACAAAAAATGATAGCCGACTTATATTAAATCATAACCCACAAGGGTGTATAACGGGATAAAATCTAGGTACTTGCCAGTGAGAAATCAACTGCAGGAAATAGAGATTGATACTCGCTGATGCTTCTTCTTTTGTCACAGGGATGAACCCCCTGCATGAGAAAACGCATGGATAAATCTATAAAGGTCCACATGGTGATCTCAATAACAAGCTGAAGAAAGCTTATATAAAAACTAAAAAATGTACTAAAATTGTCATTAAACATAAAATAAAACTTCTGACTATATTGTGGTGGGGAAAGTAAATGAAGAAACAACCTTAAACATTATAAGTGATTTTATATTTCTATACATTAATTATTCAATGACCTTTAAAATAATCTCAAACTTTTGCTGAAAAATATTAAAGTTTGTTGTGAAAAGGATATTTCATAATTTTATTTCATTCAAGTCTTAATTAGAAATAAGAAATCAAAATCATTTTATTCGATTTGTGTAAATGCCAACTAGCAACAACTGCTATGTGACTAAAGTTCGTCAAGCCTTTCCACTATATATCAGTATGCCTTAAAATTGTGGTCTTTCTAGATTAAACCTCATCAAACAAACCATTTGACTTACAAAAAAATATATAAGTAGAATTATCATTTTTTGAAGGGAATTATTAGCAAAAAATATTAGACTAGAATAGGATGGGCAATAATTTGAAAATTCAAGTCTTAAAATTGAACACGAAGTGGAGTTGTGTAAATTTATACATTTGTGTGCTGACTTGTAAGTTGTATAAGTGGTAGATTATTTGTTGCCTAGCTCATGAAAGAAGCTAACATTTGAGATAGAAAACAATTTCTATCATGACAATACATGGCATGGGACTAACAAACAGAAACCTTATTTTATAATGATAATAAAAGATATAGTATTCGACAGACATGTGAAATCAACCTCAAGGTTGTTGACTGACCAAAGTTCAATGCATCTAAACTTAAAACATTTGGAATGTGAAGAGCTATTGCACTAGATTGGAGACTTAAGGGTTAAGATCAATGACAGACTTTGACACCATCTTGAATTTGAGTTATGCCTAACTCAAGCCCAAAAGCTAGTTCATCATGGAAAGATTGCCCAAGCCTTTATAAGCTTGACTTTGGCCATACATCTATAGTCAATGTGAGATCTCAATAACAACAACAATAAGTCTATTGATTGGGAAGTAATACATTCTGAATTCTTCCTGCCCCCTTCTAATTACAAGATATCCATTTCCTGACACTTGCCCAAGCCATCCATGAAGGAGATTGAAATTTCACTGTAGTACATGTATCAATATGATATGTAAACTGTCTCCTAGAAGAAAATCTGTGTCGATAGATAAAAAAGAAGGTTTGATTAATATTTTCATACCAAACGTTCCCGACAGAGTTCAACAGCAACAATTGAAGGGCAATTCAGACTAGAAATTGCAGCACAACTGCTATTTCCTGCATTTTCCACCATAAGAGGTAGCGCATCTGTGCTGTCTGTGTAGCCCTCGCCTCCAAACACTCCAACAGCGGTTTGTAGAGTCCTAAAACCTTACATTGTAAGTCATTTCAAACAATTCATATGCACAGGAACCTAGAATATGAAAAATATATACCCCAACACAACTTTATTCAACTAATGGAACCCCATTCATGAAGACACTCCATAACAGGAACAAGTTAGCATAATAATTTTAATTTGATATTGAAGGAACTCACAATCCCCCCACAAACTATGGGCAGGAAGAGAATTTTAGATGGCATATTAGTGAGTGACAACTGGGTTCACAGATGGATAATCTAAATCCTGATAACATAAGTTTACCATCCGACCACCGTGGCCCTTACACAGAGAATTGATAAAGTCCGTCAGCTAGTAAGGCCAAGACCTCCAATTAAACACGTGTACTCCAGACGGGCTCCAGGCTGTAAGTAGAGGCAATATTAGCTAAATGGTGATGGTAGTTAGTTAGGAAAAAGATTTAAATATGAGGTGATGCTCCTCTGTAAAGGGATATCTTGGGGATTTTGGGAAAAGTTAGTTGGAACGGATAGTTGGAATCCGTTGGGAAAATTCTTCCTCTTTCTACATTCAGTTTTGATTGTAATCTGATCTCTTTATCAACAATATTACCACTTCTTTATCCAGTAACACATTGGTTCTTGATAATAATATTCAGTTCCTATACTTCTTGTAAATTCTCTTTCTAGTTCTAACACTGGTATTAGAGCACCGATCTTGGTGCTCTGGAAGGTTAATTGGGGCTGCGCATGAGGACGAGGAGCATGGCGAGAAATTCTGTTGAATGGGAGCATGAACGTGAAGAGATCATCACGCGATTGGATTTAGCGGAGGCAAGAACAACAAAGAATGAGGAATTATTGATGGCCATTGCAGCGAAATTGGGGATAGGCCAAGAAGACGCCTCTAGTGGACAGGAACGTGAGATGGTCGGAGGAAGCTCTAGAGCAGAGCATCGCGATTCTGGAAAATGGAGGAAACTAGAAATTCCAGTTTTCTCAAGAGAGGATGCATATGGGTGGACTCATAGATTGGAGAGATATTTTGTTGTGAAAGGCGTGTGTGATGAGGAAAAGATGCAGGCTATTATGGTGGCTTTGGAGGGAAGGGCATTGAGATGGTTTCAGTGGTGGGAACGATGCAACCCAAACCCTAATTGGGAGGGGTTTAAGTATGCTGTAATCAGGAGGTTCCAGCCCTCTATGATTCAAAATCCTTTCGAATTGTTGTTGTCTTTGAAACAAATAGGAACCGTGGAGGAATTTATAGAAGAATTTGAGAAATATGTGGGGGCATTGAAGGAGATAGATCAAGAATTTGTGAAAGGCATTTTCATGAACGGACTCAAGGAAGAAATACAAGTAGAGTTGAGACTCTATGAACTCAACACACTTTCCGAGGTAATTCAAAAATCGTTGATGATTGAACAAAAGAATGTGGTTTTGAACAAGAAGAATAATTCGCACAATTTTAGAGCGTATGGCAATGATAGAAGTGACCCTTATAATAGAACTGTGATGCTGGAATCTAAGAATATGATTGACAAGAAGACAGAACCTGTGAGTTTGGGGGTAAAGGTTCCACAAATAAATTCAGGACAGTCAAGAGAGGGACCAAGAAGCCGAGGAGGAGAGTTTAAACATCTCATCGGAGCTGAAATGAGGGAGGGGAGAAAAGAGAAAAGGGGTTATGTTTAAGATGTGATGAGCCTTTTAGCTGGGAGCATAGGTGCAAAAATAAACAATTGAGGATGATTATTTTAGAAGAGGAGGAAGGCTTAGATGAGAATCAAACTGTGCTGGGGAATTTCAATGTACTACAATTATCTTTGTGTTCAATGACTGGATTCACTACAACCAAATCTTGGAAGGTGGGAGGGAAAATTGGAGATAAGTCTATTATCATCCTGATTGATTGTGGAGCTTCACACAATTTTATTGCAAAGGAACTGGTGGAGCAGCTGGAGTTGAGAGTGGAAGACACACCGTCATACATAGTGGAGGTGGGAGATGGACATAAAATTAAATGCAAGGGAAAATGTACTCAGTTAATGATGATGATGCAACAGATCAAAATAGTCCAAGATTTCTATCTTTTTGGACTAAAAGGAATTGATGTGGTTTTAGGGTTGGAATGGCTGTCCAGTCTGGGAGAAGTTAAGGCAGATTTTGGCAAACTTGAACTGACTTTAAGACAAGGGGGAGAGTTGATCAAGGTGATAGGGGATCCTGCTATGACCAAGACTGAATTGTCTTTTGGGGCATTCATGCAAGTGCTCCAATCAGAGGGGGAAGGTCTGTTGTTACAATGTGGGACAACAAATAATTCGGAAAAGATTGAGCAGAAAATTCCAGCTCCTGTGCAGAAATTGTTGCAAGGGTTCCAGGATGTCTTCCAAGATCCACAGGGTCTACCTCCTAGTAGAAGACATGATCATGCAATTCATTTGAAGGAGGGATCTGAAATTCCAAATTTAAGGCCTTACAAGTATCCTCACTATCAGAAAACGGAGATTGAAAGACTAGTGATGGAAATGTTGATGGCAGGAGTTATAAGACATAGCATCAGTCCTTATTCTAGCCCTATCATATTAGTCAAAAAGAAGGATGGAGGGTGGAGATTTTGTGTGGACTATAGAGCTTTAAACAAAATTACTATTCCCAATAAATTCCCTATTCCGATCATAGAAGAGTTATTGGATGAGATTGGAGGGGCTTCTATTTTCACCAAACTTGATCTCAAATTTGGCTACCATCAAATAAGAATGAAGGAGACGGATATACCAAAGACAGCATTTAGAACTCATGAGGGACACTACGAGTTTGTTGTCATGCCATTTGGTTTAACCAATGCGCCATCAACATTTCAAGCATTGATGAATGAGGTTCTTAGACCTTATTTGAGAAAGTTTGTTTTGGTATTTTTTGATGATATTTTGGTATATAGCCAAGATGAGCAGTTTCACATAGACCATTTGCAAAAAGTACTGCGAGCTTTAAGGGATAATTCTCTAAAAGCTAATTTGAAGAAGTGTACTTTTGGACAGAAAAGCTTGGAATATTTGGGCCATGTTATTTCAGAAGAGGGTGTGGCTGCTGATGAGGCCAAAGTAGCGGCTATGAGAAATTGACCTATACCAAAGGATGTTAAAGGCTTAAGAGGATTCCTTGGACTCACGGGGTACTATAGAAGGTTTGTTCAAGGGTATGGCAAAATAGCCAAACCTCTTACTGATTTGCTTAAGAAAGATAGGTTTTATTGGTGCGAGGAGGGTACTGCAGCATTTCAACAACTGAAAAATGCTATGGTTGCTTTGCCACTTTTAGCTGTCCCAGATTTTTCCAAGGTGTTTATCATAGAAACGGATGCATCTAGTAAGGGTATTGGAGCTGTTTTGATGCAAGAAGGGAAACCTTTAGCTTTTTGGAGTCGAGGCCTTTCTACTAAAGCTCAACAGAAATCAGTCTATGAAAGGGAGCTTATGCCGTGGGTTCAAGCAGTTCAAAAATGGAAGCATTATCTGATGGGCCATCATTTTATAATTAGGACTGATCAACGAAGTTTGAAATTTTTGAATGATCAGAGATTTTTCAGTGAGGAGCAGTTTAAATGGGTAGTCAAGTTAATAGGGTTTGATTTTGAAATTCAATTCAAACCTGGTAAGGAAAACACAGTGGCTGATGCTCTTTCTAGGAGAGAGATGTATTCTAAACTCTCAGTGGTTAACATGACAGAAGTTGAGGAGTGGTTAGAGGAGGTCCAATCAGATCCTAAGTGGCATCAAATCATTCAGGATTTGCTCCTAAATCCAGAGGCTCATTCTGGGTATACTTATAAGAATGGTAAGTTATTGTATCAGGGTAGATTGGTGTTGTTCAAAGATTCTAATCGTAACCTTAGCATTATGGCCGAATGCCATGATGGCCCGACGGGAGGTCATTCTGGTTTTTTTAGAACCTACAAAAGGGTATCCAGTTTTTTCTATTGGGAGGGTATGAAAGGATATATTAAAAAGTACGTTGAAGCCTGTGAAGTTTGCCAAAGAGCGAAATATTCAACCTTGAGTCCTAGAGGGTTACTGCAGCCTCTCCCTATCCCTACACAAGTTTGGCAAGATATCTCTATGAATTTTATAGGAGGTTTACCAAGATCAAAAGGGAAAGACACCATTTTGGTAGTTGTGGACAGGCTGACCAAATTTGCCCATTTTTTCCCTCTAGGACACCCCTATACGGCCAAGGAAATAGCAACTGTTTTCCTAAAAGAAATAGTCAGGCTTCATGGTTTTCCATCATCAATAGTATCTGATAGAGATCAAATTTTTCTCAGCCAATTTTGGCAGGAATTGTTCAGGTTGGCGGGTACTAAACTTAAACTTAGCACGGCTTATCACCCTCAAACGGACGGTCAAACTGAGGTAGTCAACCGTAGTCTAGAAACTTATTTGAGATGCTTTATAGGACCAAAACCTAAATCTTGGGTTGATTGGTTACCATGGGCTGAGTTTTGGTTTAACACCAACTACAATAGTTCAGCTGGCATGACCCCTTTTAAGGCTCTATACGGCAAAGACCCTCCTATGTTGATTAAGGGCTGCACTTTTACTTCTAAAGTGGAAGAAGTCAATCAATTGTTGTTTCACAGAGATGCGGTGTTATCAGAATTGCAAAAAAAATTTATTGAGAGCACAAGATTTAATGAAATCTCAAGCCAATAAGCACAGGAGAGCAGTGCAGTTTGAGGTAGGTGATTGGGTTTATTTGAAGCTGCATCCATATAAATTGAAATCTTTGGCTAGCAGACCTTTTGCCAAGCTATCAGCTAAATTCTATGGTCCTTATCAAGTGCTTGATAAGATTGGAGAGGTGGCTTATAAGTTAGCTTTACCGGAGCATACGAGGGTGCATCCAGTTTTCCATGTATCGTTACTAAAAAAAGCTATTAAAGCCACTCAACAAATCCAACCTTTGCCACCAATGTTGAGTGAGGAGTTAGAATTACAAGTCCAGCCTAAAGAATTACTACAGTGGCGACATAATCAACAAGGGCAGACAGAGGTGTTAGTTCAGTGGGCGTATCTGCCACCTTGTGATAGTTCTTGGGAGAGTGTATCCCAGTTACAATCCAGCTTTCCACAGTTTCCACTTGAGGACAAGTTAGCTCTCATAGGGGGGAGTATTGATAGAGTCCGTCAGCTAGTAAGGTCAAGACCTCCAATTAAACACGTGTACTCCAGACGGGCTCCAGGCTGTAAGTAGAGGCAATATTAGCTAAATGGTGATGGTAGTTACTTAGGAAAAAGATTTAAATATGAGGTGATGCTCCTCTGTAAAGGGATATCTTGGGGACTTTGGGAAAAGTTAGTTAGAACGGATAGTTGGAATCCGTTGGGAAAATTCTTCCTCTTTTTACATTCAGTTTTGATTGTAATCTGATCTCTTTATCAACAATATTACCACTTCTTTATCCAGTAACACATTGGTTCTTGATAATAATATTCAGTTCCTATACTTCTTGTAAATTCTCTTTCCAGTTCTAACAAGAACACTCTTGAATTGAATTGTTTCCAAGACAAAAGTATTTCCCATTTCAAGAGGCACCAATTATATTTTTCAGCAATAATTTCTACCTGGAAAGATAATATACCAGATGTATGGACTTGTTGCACATGTTTTTATTTACACTATTAAGTCACACCAATGTTCAGACTGTGCAAATTAAAGATTGCCCACCGGATGTTGCTTCATAGTAATCAGACACAACCATAGTGTACCACATTCATCAATCAACAAAAGCTGATCATGTTGTACAATGCAGATACAACAAATATAAACATAGGAACGTTTATCAGCCATTGCAAAATAGTGCAGTGTTTTCATACCCAAAAAAAAAAGCTTCTGAGAAAATGCAAAGGAGGTCTAAGCTAATAAAAACCTGAGAGAAAGCATGCCAAGCCCACACAATATTGAAAATTTGTTAAAATGAAAAATGAATAATTTTCTGATCTTCAGCAGCTTTTTCTTTCATACGAGAGTTTAGAAATTAAGTACTCTCTGAAGATTGTAGAGACATACAGTTTTTCAATCCATATAAAGCATTGGAGTCACACACTAAGGAAGCACACTCGTGTTGATACCTCAATAAAGGAGATACTATGACTAGATCAATCCTCTTCATAATCCCAGAATCATGAACATGCTTACGCAAATTGTTAACCTGTCAGAAGCACAAGATATTACACATTCATAGCACTAAGCAATCCTTTCCATTTCTAAACTACATCATGTCTCATGGCATGTAAGCTTCTCCCTTCTGAGCATGTTTTACACAATTAGCGGCGGTGCTTTACCTCTTGCCAGCCTAACGGCGTAATATGCGCATCAAAATATTCAGATTTCATGTATGCATCATAGTTCTTATCTCCCTCCACATTGTGGATCCCCTGTCCATGCCTGACCTGGACATTTGCGTTTTATAAGTTGGTAATGTCTTGATTTACATCGTGCAATCTTAAATGTATTTGATAATTAAATATATAACATGGCAGCTTCAAGTCCACACCGGATACAGTGTGTTGACTGAAAAGTGAGTTCAATTTCAATACGAACCAGGTGAATGGTTTTGCAACGGTGCAATGTAAACACGTATGGATCACCACCACCACCACAATCCATAGTCTCTGACAAGCCTAGCAAACATTCACGCAACAGAACAGAACGGGAAATAAAAGCAATATATAGCATATCCAAACTATAACATCAAAATAAAAACAAAAACCGTAATCATAAGTATTCCGAAGTAATAATTCACTAAACAATTATGCACAGGAAATCAATTCGATAACAAAAACGATTGCAGGAAATCTGGATCAATATGCAATTCAACAATTATTAGTAAATTGTTACAGTTGATGCAAATAGTAGGTTACAATCATTCATTATATTATTTGTTTTCTAATTCTTTGAATCATGGTTCGCTAGATGTTCTGTTCTCGTAACAGATGTAACCTAAATGTGTTTCTGTTACACTCGCGCAAACTATGGAAAGTGGAATTTGAGTGGCCATTGGAAGAGAATGAAAAGTAAAAACGATGTGAGTGAGGAGGTAGCGTACCAGAGAAGCAGAGTGAGGAAGGAGGAGAAAGGAGTGGAAATGCGCGGGGAAAACATGAAGAAGAAGGAAAAGATGGTTTCAAAGTTGAGATGCTGCAATTTACACCAACTGTGCACAGGTTCATGTTCTTGCCGCTGACTAGAGCGATCTTCTAAATTTTAGTTTAATTCCGTTTTCTTTCCCGTGATGTTGTTACCCACCATTATAAACATGTTAATAACGTCCATAATTATTTTATAAAAACATACCATTTTTAAGAGAAATATATAATAAAGTACATTAGTGAATTATGAATGAAAAAAAATACTAAAAGAAAAAAATTATTTTTCATAACATATTAAAAACATGTTAATAACGTCCATAATTATTTTATAAAAACATACCATTTTTAAGAGAAATATATAATAAAGTACATTAGTGAATTATAAATGAAAAAAAATACTAAAAGAAAAAAATTATTTTTCATAACATATTAAAAATAAAATGTATTCTATACAATCATTTATTTATATAAATAATAAATATATTAGTTAATTTAATTGTATGTTTAAAATAATCTGATAGTTTTTAAAACTATTTTATTATTATTTTTGTTAATTATATCAGAAGTGATTATAATTAATAATGCAGACTGAAATTAAATTTACGACTTAAAACATGTTTAAATTAAAATAAGTTTTAAAAATATAATGTAATAAGTTTGAGATTATATTTTATTTTTTTTAAATCAAATTAAATGGGGATGTTGGAAAATCAATGTAATGCATTTTTTTATATATATATATATATATATATATATATATATATACTTTGATATAAAATTAAGACAGTAGTAAAAAATAATGATAAATATAAGAAGATATTCCACTTATATTCGTTATCATATGGATTCTTTTTATAAATTTTAATTATCATTAGTTATTAACAAATAAAATTGTGATTATATTACTTTTTAAAGTAAAAATATTACTAATTCAATCTTTTAAAAATAATTGCCATATTTATCTATCAACAAATAATTTTCCGAAAGACCGATTTAACGCTAAAATAATTTATGGAAAAATATTTAAAGGTTAACACAAATATATATATATATATATATATATATATATATATATATAGAGAGAGAGAGAGAGAGAGAGAGAGAGAGAGAGAGAATAATTTGATAATTAAAACATATAAACAATCTAAAAATTCAAAGTGAATTTCGAAATTTGATTTTTTAGTCATTGCTTCTTGAGAATATTATTCTCAAAAAAATATAAAATAAAAAGATTTAATTATACTTTTTTATTGTAAATTTCTCCTAAAAAAAAATTTCTTTCACACATTATGCCATCTATTATGAATTTTTATCCTGATATAAAAATATCCACAGTTAAAAAAAACGGCGATCATTATGAAGACAATTTTGTAGCATTAGGTAGGTAATTACATTTGTAACAATTAACGATTTTTTTTTTAATTAGACGACACTAATTGCAAAAGAAAAATCTCTGATTACAAAATTTGGAAAATGATTCTTTTTTCAAAATAAAAAGCACAGATAAATCTAACAATTAAAATTTATTATATGATCTATGATTATTATAATCATAATCAATTGATTACAAACAAGGTTATCTATACTTTGCTAATAATATTTATATTTCATTACTAAAAAACTTAATACACTATTAAATACTAAAATAATAATATTATGAAATATGAGATAATTATTTAAAAGAGGATGAGATGTAATAATATTATGAAATAATAATATAATAATAAATAATAATATTATATATTAAAATCGCTTGTTAAGATATAATTCCTCTATTAAAAAATACTCTATAATATATTGTATAAGTTACTATACAGTGCGTAATCTGTTTTCTATTAGATATTGCACCAATCCTAAAATCCACAAATAGGAAACGTATGTACCTTCATCGACCTCCAATTTCACCACTCCGAAACAAAAAGATATCAATCCAATCCATTCTGCATCCATCCAAATGGCTCTGAAGATTCAGCTCAGTTCCCCCTTCTTCTACTCCACCTCGCCTACCTCCACCCACAAACCCACCACACGAATCTCATGCATCACCGCCGGCGAAGGCGGCATCTGCGACGCGGCACTGGCGTCGGAGCTGGCGGTTAGGGTTGCGAGAATGAACGCGCATTCGGTGAAGGCGGAGGAGGCCATGAGCAAGAGCAGAAAGCTCCTCTTCGGAGAGCTGTGCGAGTATATGGGCCTCAACGAAGAGCAGGCCCAACATAAATGGAGCAGCATGGATGAAGACGAGAAATTGGTATTGGTGAAAGCTTTTCTGAAAAAGTGGGGTTCGCATTTTCACCCCTTGTCCGCCAGGTCCACCAAAGAGATGTTGGAGGAATATCTACGTCAGGGGAACGCACCTCCCAAGCCTCCTGCTTCGTCCTTCCTCTCGGGACTCAACAGAATTATTGGTTTTCCGTAGGAATTTACTCCATTTAGTTGGACTTCGAATTTTAATTTGATTCCTTGAAATTTTCATTTTCTTTTACAAAGTAAGAGATGGGATATGGGATTGTATGCAGTCATAGAAGACTTGTATTCCATTTATTTATGCAACAAAATTTGAAGGGCTAAAATTGTAGATGGTCTGAATTCGTTGATGGCCTACCATCAATGTTAGTTACATCATTGCTAGGGTTAGAATTACTCACGGTGAAATTTTGTCATCATATTTATGAATTCCAGTTTAGTTACTCATATTACATACATTCATAACCATCTATCGTCTAGGATAGAAAAGAAGCTTTGTAAGGAATGAAATAGGAACCTTGTGTGACATTTGTTCCCCAATCGTTTTGGTCCAGAAAGGAAAAACCAATTTAAGACCAAAAATTATTTGTGGACACAACAAATCTGTTTTAGTCATTTGATACCTGATAAGATAAAAAGATAACAGAGAAAAGCTTATATAGTATAAATTATATGATACGAAGAAAGAGATAAACAAAAGTTATGAGCGCCAATAAGATATTTGGAATGAAGGAGTGTTCATCTTTATTTTTTCTTTAATTAATAGAAAATTATATAATTAGATTTTTAAATTGAAATATCTTAAATAAAATATTTCATCGTCATAGGCTAAAAAGAAGCATCTTAACCTGCAAATTGGTTAGGACATATAGATCTAAATTCGTTCATGTACAGCAGAATAGTTATTGATCAGCAAAGTCCATAGTCATTAACCAGCGCTTAGAATTATTCCAGGCTTAGAATTATTCCAGGCTGAGTATCATGACTGACCGAATGTAGTACACGCAGTGGCTGCTGTAAAATCCAATAAAATCCAATTATGACAAATAAGCAAAATATGTGTAGCGCAATCATACAGAACATATACATAGCTGTATGCATATCACACAAGTCCGTAGTTCGATCATGGACGCATCTGTAAAGATGTTCAGACAGAAAAGTAAGAACGGTAGTATAGACAGAGCAACCGGCTATATAGACAGGTTCTTTCAATTTTTATTCACTCGTTGGTCTAATAAAAAGTAAAAGATATTTTGGAATATTTATATACAACCAGAAAGCTGTAATTGACGTATTGCACAAACGAAATGTACTGAACACAGACATTATCAGAAATACAGTTGTCTGCAGTGTGTAACTGTCGCTTCGGCTGGACAATATGGACACTTGAATGTTCGGGTGCTGTTTTTTGATAACTTCATGATTGATTGCTTGCAAAGGACATGTAAGCACGGCAACAGCATTGGAGGGTTCTCTTCACTTCCTTGATCCCTACTCACAGGGCAAACAAAAATCGAATGAAACTGGAATTCCTTACCCAATTCTACAGGCACTGGCAACTGTTTCATTTCCTGCCACTCCTGCTTCTTTGCTGCCATTACATTTGCCAGCTTTAACAGCGTAGGCAACCCCTCAACTCCTGCAGCAACTGCTACACTAAGTGGGTTCTCATAGGACTGCCCCATGAGAGTGCAGAACTGTCGTGTGAGCTCTTCAGTTGTCATCTCCCAATGAATTGGGGACATCAGCTCAGAATAAGGGGAGCTCTCTAGCCTTCCTGCATACAAGAGGCAACCCATGAGCTTTGGGAACTCGTCCTTGTTGATGGAAGCAAAAGGAGCAAGATAAGTTCGGGCATATTTTAAGGCATCAGCTCGGGTTCCATGTTGCAGGACCTCTACAAACTGCAGTCTGTGAATCTTAAGCTCAAGATTGGAATCAATCAGGCCAAGTTTCTCTCGATTAGCAGAGACCCATGTCAGTGCAGGCTGAAGGTTTTTTTCCCTCATAGCACCAATAATCTGATGCATTTCCAAGAATTGAGATCTAAGTGCAGTTGCATCAGGCTCTCCAGACTCATTTGCGATGCTATCTCCAAGATCAAATAAACCTTGACGGTAAAAGTGGTTTGCAATGATCTGATTGATAATATGAGTATCAAATTCCACATTTCTGTATGCCTTTGATATATCAGGATTTAATAATTTTTCAAGGAGTTTTTGATACTTGGTAAGACTTGCGTTCAATTCCTTATTTGATCCTTCCAACTGTTGAAGTGGTCCAATAGCATTAATCTTAAGCTTAAGTTCTGTGAGAAGGGATTTCTGGTCAACAGGAGAAGAGAGGTCATGGGGTGACTGAATTGTTGCCAGTGCCTGCTCAATTTCACGCCCAACATGGTCAACAACTTCCTGAGACTTGGAAGATGATAATTTTTGCTTCTTGGCTACACGATCAAATGCATCTTTGATGCTACTTAGCTCCATCTTTATGGTCAGATCACAAATTCCTACAAAAATGTTACAAACAAGAGTTAGTCCTGTTCAGAAAGATACAACAACCAGTTTTTTAAGAGTAAAAGCTAAGAATGTAGCATTACACAAGAATCGCAGATCCATACGGTATAGCAACCATTATAGTCCCCCCATTAACAATTTTTAGTAGTTACAACTTACAACACTTTATTTAGAATTACAGCAGTATAGCCACATTTAATCAAAGAAGTTGAAACTGTTTGCTTATTAGCTGGTTTCTCCACCAGAACTTAAAATACACTCTTACCTTAGCTCAATTGATATTCTAAGGGAACAATAAGTTCAAGTTGGTTATAAAACATCAATACAAAGAAAATACACAGAAGCGACCTACAAAAGATGTTGAAGCCCCTATTTATTATTCAAAAATGGCACAAAGCTCATCACCATGCATAGAGTTTGTGCTCACCTAATTCTCAAAATAATAATATCAGGGAATCTCAAACTGGATCTTATGTAAAAGAGCCACTTAAACTATGGGTAAGCTGAAATATACTAAGACGATCATTCATCTTTATTTATAATCTTGAATGAGAAAGACTCTAAGCTAAATGTTGCACAATCATCATTAGAAACACATATGAATGACATCAATCAGCTTTTAATAATTGATTCTTTTGCTAAATCGTCATCTGACAACGAAAATAGAGATTTTGTTCATATAGAATAGTACATTAATGTGGGATAATTTACATGAGAAACCACATTAGGATGGGAAATGAATTAAAAGTTAAATTCCACCATTTGTGGGATGTTGATAGAAGTTTCACATCAACTAGAATAAACTACTTCATATGGTACTTAAGTCTTGAGATTCTCTCAAATAATGGACTAGTGTTTTGGCTGAAGCCATCAAAGAAAAATAGGCTACCATTGGGTCACTGTCGACAAGGTGAAAGCAACCATGAAGGTTGGTTTTTAAAGGATGACACTGAGAGGAGTCTCACATTGAATAGAAAAAACTACATGATGCAGTACTTAAGCTTTGAGGATCTCTCACTTAATAATCTAGTCTTTTGGGTTGGACTCTCCTCTTGTGCTTAAGTCCTAATAAATGTCCTCATGAGAAGTTTTGTTAAATAGATTTAACCATTTATTGTGTTTTTTACTTAACACGGTTGAAATAAAAATAAGCAACCGAGTATCCCACTAAATTAGGCATTTATGTTTTCCATTATTTTTTTAGTTTTAATTGGTTTTTATTTTAACTTCCAAATTTGATAAGAACCATAATAAATGATTAGGTTTTATTAAATGGGATTCTCCTGCTTATTGTGAATAGGAGAGGATCTCAATCCCTCACAAACTTCATCAGTTTGTAGATCTTTCAACCATTTTCACCTTGACCATGTATAGTAGAGCACCATTCTTGGCCTTGTATAGTCAAAATCAAGGGCGTAGGTGTACCAAGTCTGCCAAACAGAAACTGTTTCAGCACTGTTAAAATAAGTACTTGGGTTCTCTATGTTATTTAGTTGGGACTGAGATAGCTCAGTCAAAGTCAAGCATCGCTTTCACACAAAGTATGTTCTCAACACTTGGGAGGAGACAAGCCTTATAGATTGCAAGCCAGTGAACAACCACATGGAGCCCAAGGTGAAGTTTCTTCCCAACTAAGAATAGTCCTAATCCAGGTAGATACCGAAGACTGGTGGGCAAAATTTAATTATCTTACCATGACTAGGACAAACTTATATTTTCCTACTAGTGTTGTCAGTTAATTTCTTAATTTTCTTTGCAAGTGTAATTGACATTCAGTTGTTTGTATCCCTCAATACATAAAAAAAAGGCACCTAGGTAAGAATTTGTGTACACTGATAAGGGAACATGCTAATATTGTTGGATACTCAAATGCAAATTGGGCAAGAGATATAGGTGATGAACAACCCATATCCACTTGTGTTTCACCCTAGACTCTTGGAAAAAGTAAAAGGCAAAATATTGTTGTCAGGTCAAGCACTACCAAGGCTGAGACCAAACCATGGCTCACACGACATGTGAGCTCTAAAACACTTCAGCAGATGTGATTCTGCAATGTTGATTCTATGTGCCTAATATGTGTGATTCTCAATTAACCTTGTATCTATCTTCTAATCCAATTTTTCACAAAAGTAGAGGATGATTTTCACTTCCTCAAAGAAAATATCCTTTTGAGCATCATCAAGAAGACTGCCACCATCTGCCCCAAATATCAGTTTGCTAACATATTCATTAAATATTTATGGGGATCTAGGATAACATATATAAATAAAAAACTGGATCCGTACGATATTTGAACTTCCACATGAAGGGGATTTGATATATTGAGAAAATATTATTGAGATATTTGTAATTATTAAGGAATATTGACCATTTATGTAGTTAGGAAAAGGCTAAACTATTCGCTTGGTCCCTATAGTCAAAGAGTTTTTTTAGTGGGTCTATACCACCAGAGAGTTTTCTCCCAATCCCAAGTTACTAATAGGGACCAGAACTTGACTTTTATAAATGTGTAGGGACTAAATTTATAGTTTTCTCGTGTGAGAACTAAATCTTAAAATAAGGACAATTGTAAAAACCAAATGAATAGTTTTAACCGGATGAAAAATCTACTTACTTCAAATTTAGATAAATTGAGTCTAATCTCTAAATGTAAAGGATGGATGCTCTCAACTTCTATATAAACATCATATTGTTATCATGGAATAAACACATCATTCTTAATCTCAGCTTACAAAATAAATCTTTTGTCCATCTTTTTCCTAATATGTTCATGTATATCCCTTATATCATACCATAACAATGATATTTGTGAACCACCTTTATAAATATCTACAACTCACTTGACTTAACAGTTGAACAAGGAAAAACTTACAGACAAGGTGTTACAATTGTCACTAGTGGACAACACCAGCTAGCAACTAGCAAAGTAAAAGGGGAGAGGGGGAGGTGTTGTGGAGTTGAGCTCTGAGCTGAAAAAATGTTAGACATTCATGTCAATAATAGCAGCAGAAGTCAGACAAAGCCACAAAGTTATTTCCCTACGATGACTTTGCAAACTACTATACAAGATAAATACAAACAAACACATGTTTTAGATAGAATCAGTCTTTCTGAATCAGCATAATATGTACATTACAATGTTCACGATAACTGACTGAAACTGAAACTTGCAAAGCCAGCATTGCACAACAAAATTTCCAAATCTACAATTTACTACACAAGCTAAATAGTAAATATACAGAGTATGGTTAACCTTTAATACAAGAAAGAATCAAACTGGACAAGGTAGATTGCAATGTTTAAAAAAAAAAAAAAAAAAAAGAATTTCCAAGCATCAGATACAAAACACAATGCTCAATTCTACAATTTTTTAGACCAGCTTAATCCAAAAATCCAATTATAATGAGTCAATTTCACCACGGGATTACATCAAATGGTAAACGAAGATTACAATGTTTGAAGTAACTGAACATTACAAAAAACAACACAGTTTACAAAAGACCTAAGAGTATGAGACACCCCATGTGTCTATTCAAAATTATCAGGAAAAAACCATTTCTATAAAAAATTCCACTTATTGGGAGCTGTAAAATCAAAACTATGAACATCTCAGGCAAGGCCGAAGACAAGAAAAACAAATCAAAAGCTGCATAAACAAATAAACGAAAATGAATTTCTCAGTTAATTGTAATGGGTTTTCTAGGAGCAACTACAAATAGTGGAAATATAATTACGGAAAAAGAAAATGGAGAAGTTGAATGAGAGTGCACCTTATAACAAGAAGGCGCGGATGAATTTGTGTTACCTGAGAAACAGTGAGAGAGAGAAAGCGAAAGCGTGTGCGATGTGAGGGAGACGAGACGAAGAAAGGAACCAGGCGTGCCACTAAAACAGGGTGGCCACCAGGCACACGTGCGAACACACAAAAATCCTCTTCCGAACTGAATTTGCCCCTACTCTTGCGTGAAATTACTTTTCAGCCCTTTAGAGTTTGATGGATCCACCATATGCATAATAATAATTGATGTGTTTGTTTGTTCAGAGTTCAGGATCTGCGACAGAGGATTTTGTTTTTGTTTTTGAGACGTAACAATGGGCCTAAACTGTAGATTCCTATGGGGGCACGTGGCTGATTTGTGCAGGGCTGATGGTTCTGCATCCTGTTCATCCTCCACCCATATTCACTAAAAACCAAAAAGACAATGTTGTTCTTTAATTGGAAAATTTGTTTCAGATTTATTTTTTTAAACTCTTCATTTTGGATTTATTTGTTAAATTTTTTTCAAAATATTATTAAATTAGTTTTTTTAAAATATTTTGAATTCAACTTTCAAGAAATTTTACAAAAATATTCGAAAATCAACTTTTGAAAACACATTTTGATTAACTTGATTGATGAATTTTTGTTTTGGGTTTTATAATTCAAAATTTTAATTATAATATATATAATTATTTTTTTATTTACCTTTCTAAATATTTTTTGAGATTGATATTTCTAGATCAATAAAATTGTTAAAATTTAAGTGAGAGTGGAAACTTTATATTTAATAAAAAGGGTATAAGTGAATAAAATATAAATGAAAAAAATACATAAATTCATTATCTTAAAATTTTATATTAAGTATAGGGTCTCTTTTATGTTTTTCTTGTATCCTTTAATTAAACTTAGAAAAATGTTAATCTTCTCTAAAAACAAATACCTATTTAGGGTCATTTTATAAAATTATATTATTTTATCAAAAACATTAAACTAAAAAATAGAAATATTTTAAAAGTTTTAAATATTCATATATTTAATATTTATCATATAAAATAGAAAAAATAATAAAAATATGTTATAAATATAAAATATTTAAAAATAATGTGATATTATTCATTTATCTTAAAACTAAGATTATTATTTTATATAGCTAGAATAATTGTATTAAATTATTTTTTTAAGAGTTATTTTAACACATTTAAAAAAATAT